CCCAAAACACACGCCAGGGGAAAGCAGGAAGGCACTGTCTTAGTTTGCTGGCATCTTTCAGGCAAGAGGCCAAGCGGGCACTGAGGAAACAGTGTACAATTGTGTGGGGAGCTGCCGCCCGTATTATAATCCTATATTTCCATGGACACCCCCTGCACTGTCAAATGAATAATGCCGCATTTCTGCTTCCCCTGGTAAGCTAGGGCTGATTTTAAGACCATTACGAAGGGAGAGAATGTTGCAGCCTTCTCAGTTTCTCTAGGGTCACAGTGTAATTGTGTGGCAGGAGGAACGGGGCCCCAGAGATGGCGTGACAGTCACTTCTCATTACCTCCCACTTGGTTCATTACATCTGTAGACAGCGATTGCCCATGTGTGGATACTTCCATTACACAGAAGGATGTAATGTGCTGTAAACCTCGAATGGCTTGCAAATGGGGAGAAGGCTGTTTATTTCAGGCACATACCTATCTTGCTTCCAGGGGCCATGCCAAAGAGATGGAAAGTGACACAAGGAATAGATTCCCAGTGCTTAATACAGGCGACCTGCCCCATGTGGACCTATGCCCAGTGACATATTTACATGTGCACATACCACTGACACATAATGCATCACACAAAGGACAGAACCCTTAATTACGAATCTACCAAATTTGACTTTAACAAGCAGACCCACTCATTCAGGCATACTGTATATAGGCTGTTCTGTATGCCCTCCTTAAACACACATCCCTCCTTTTCTCTCTCTCTCTCTCTCTCTCTCTCTCTCTCTCTCTCTCTCTCTCTCTCTCTCTCTCCCCCCCCCCCAAAAGACCTTTCTCCATTTTCAAGGGTGAGTCCTGAGAACCATGAAATACTGATATACTATTTCACACTTTTTTCTCAGGGGAGTAAACATCCCCAATTAGTGTACAAACTAAGAGGAGATAACAAGAAAACAGAATTGTAGAGAATTACAGATTGTGAAAATCAGAATTAGAATCAGAAATGAATCTTAGGTATTATCTATAACAGAAATTCTGAGACTTTTTTTTAAAGAAACGCTTCCCCCAAAAAGTTAATAAATGAGATACCGATGATAAAATAAAGCTGAGATGCTGCATATTATATCCTATTATTGGGAATTCACAATCATGTGAGCTATTAAAGGTTCTGAGAATTCCTGTTATATATTTTTAAAAATCTAATTAACTCAGCATTATCCTAATTTATTATTTCAAGTAACACTTTAAAAAAAAAACTGCAATCTTATCAACATCCCGTGGAACAATTATACTACACTAGGGGAGGTCCTATCCTGCTGTAGTTGCATCATTTTCCATAGATTTTCTACACACTAGTAATTCTCAAATGTTAGTATGCATTAGAATCACTGGGGATCGAATCTTCAGAAATAACTCAGTAAACTGGATAAGGCTCAGGAACCTGAACATTTACCAAGCAAACCTAAGGCGGAGGACCTCATACACACTTTGGAAACACCAATTCACACACGTGCTCTGCGTCTGAATTCCTCAGGTATTGAACTACACATTGTTAACAAGAAAATGTGACAGGTAATAGGTTTAATGCCTGTAGCTTTGACTCTGAAAGTTGGCCACGTTCATCATGCATCATAAGAGCTTTTTGCATATGAAAATGAATGTTGGCCTCTATAATGTACCACGACTGATGGGCCCTTCTTACCTTTACACCTGGCTTTCACGGTGTAGCCTTTTCACTCTCTGAATCATCCACTCGCTTGCTTCACTAATCCAGTTTTATTAATTTATTCTTCACCAGTTATTTAGAAAGCATCCTCTATGTGTCAGGCACTGAATAAAACACTAGGGATATTAGTGAACAAGAGAGACAAGACCCTTCACCCTTGTAGGCTAACATTCTAGTAAGAGGGAGAAAGGTAACAACAACAACAACAAAAAATCAACGTAATAAATAAGTAAACGACATAGTAAATTAGACTTAGAAGGTGATAAGTGTTATGAAAGAAACAGAGCAGGCTAAGGGAGACTATGGTATGGGTGGGCAGGGGGCTGGGAAAAGGGCTGTGACTTTTAAAAGGGCAGTGGGAATATAACTTAATAAAAAGTGACATTTAGGCCAAGTCTTACAGGAAGTAAGGAAAGTGGCCTTTTATGGATGTAGAGCCAGAGTCCAGGCATAAAGAACAGCCAGTGCAAATAATAGCAGCCTCATGTAGAGAAGGAGTGAAAAAGGGAGGGTGTGTGGGGGAGAGGGTGGGGAAGGGAGAGCAGGAAACTCAGTGAGAGGTAGCAAAGACCAAATCGCCTAGGTCAGGGCTTGGACATTTACTCTGAGGGAAATGAGAAGCCATTGCAGCACTGTGAGCCAAGAAATGAAATTATCCAACTTTCATTTGTAAAGGCTCTGAATTTACCTGATGGAATTTATTCACCATTGACTGCTTATCTGCTGATATGCCAGGCATTGCACTTAAGAGCCCGGTATGCAAAGATGAGCCTACACCCATTGTCCTAAAAGTGCCCACAGTCTCTGGGCTCTGGAACAGCTTGGTGCTTGCATGCCTACATTTAAAATCTATTGTCCTTGCCCCTTGCACAACCAGCCCTCTGCTCAGTGTTTACTTGGTGACCTCAGCACTCACATGTGCCCTGTCCTGGGCTAGAGCAGAGGGGTTCTCAGTCAGACCTCTCAGTCAGACCAGTCAAGGGGTTCAGGTGCCCAGCCCGGGCATGAACACACTGTGTGGCCTTGGCAACACATTAATCCCCCGCCCCTCTTTTCTTGGCTTTTCCATCTGTTTACACAATTTTCTGCAGAAGTATATTTGTGAGGTCTGATGAGATAACCAGCACCGAGAGCTGTAGAGTATAATGAAAAACTGACAATTTTAATGCTCCCTCAAATTATTGTACTTTAAAATAAAGAAAGTCAAGTACATGATCCAACTCATTTATCCTGGCAGCACTGCCTCAGCTGAAGACGGCCTACAAGCTGGCAGGCCAGAAGCAAAGAGGAACTTATCTTAGTTCCTGCAGATAAAACCGACTCGTTATCAACAACTGAAATTCCGAGCGAGGGTCTTCTGGGGAAGAGCCATTTTGCAGCAACAGTCTCTGTTTAGCTTGCTTGCCTCCTGCTAACTTCTTTCTGATGAGGAAGGATGTGAAAATTCCTATTTAAGTTCAGCCTCAAATATAATTCTAAAGGATCAGACTTGGCATGCTCACCTCACCTGTCCGTCATCAATACACATCAAAGAGATGAAACTTCCATTTCGAGGAAATGGAAAATAAAACGACAGACCTCAAGGAACGTCCTCCAGGAAACCAGAATTATTATGATCATGGCTGTGTTTGTCTTCAATGAGCCTATGCAGGCTTGATGACTAGCAACACTATTTTTACCAAATCCTTATGATGTAACCTCACCGAAGTCGAAGTCAGGGAAATACAGGGATTTGGCAGGCCACTGGGAAAAGAGAAATGTAATACAATGCCACTGCAGACTGCAGTCTGCTCTGAGCTAAACTACTCCAGATGTTTTTCGTCTTCATTTAATGTTTCTCGAAATACAATGTCTTAGCGTCACTCAAGGCAACAAAATTTATAACATGCTAATTAATAGCAAGATGCTTTGCTAAGAAATTCTATGAGTATGTAAGTATACTTTTAGAGCTGTAAAGTTTTTTGTTTTTTGTTTTTTGTTTTTTTTACCTTTCTTCTGTCCAATTTTACTAGTGGAGGAAGGGAATACTAGGAACCCATAGAATCTTATGTGGCTTAGCATGATTCGTTTTATTTAAATGATAAGAAATAAGCTATGCTATTTACCCTTACATACTGGTTATAATGATTATATCAGTTACGAGCTCAAAACAAAGCCAAGTTGTCCAGGGAGCAAGAAGTGCACTCAGAAAGGAGAGCTATGGGTGTAAAGCTGCTTCCCACCATTATTGATGACTTATCTTTTTTAAATTAAAAGCAAAATCAGGCCTTTTTCCCTGTTCAGGAATTCTTGAACTTCATATTATCAGCAAAACATGTTGCTGCACCTGCTCTGCCAATCCCCAGCCCGGATCAGCCCAACTGTAACTTTCTCAGCTCCTGCATCTAGGCATCAAAGCGTGGATAAGGAAAAAAATTCCCTAACTCAGTCGACTGGCACTGTGACAAATCTATGTTCTCCAGCATCGGCTGGGTCTGCAGGGGTACTGGCTGTCTTTTTATTTCTCCCCAGTCAGGGCAGTTTCAGATTTCCCTTATGCCTGTTTCAAACAATCAACATGCTTGGTGATCCCCTCATCCTAAGTAATTGTCCTTGTCCATATATCACAGACAATATAGAAGTCCTCTCCTTCCCCTCCACCTGCAGCCTCACCTTGGGGGACACTCACCATTCCCCTCCCTTCTTCCTGCCAGAGAAGAGTTATCTCTTGCAACCCTTGAAGTTACCACTTTTAGAGGATACTGAACACCATCTCCTCAGGCATCCTCTGGGACTTCATTATAACGGCTGCTCCACCTCACTCCTCTGTGTCTTTAATCCATCACCCTCTGCTCTCTGGCTTCTTCAGTCTACAGATTTGCTCAACTTTTTCCGTATCACCATGCACGTGCCTGCACACACATATGCATGCACACATAACTCTTTAATCATTTCAGCCTCTAACTCATGCTGCAAATTGCCTTGTTTAGCAATTATCTGTTTACATGGCAGTTTTCAACGGGTCTGGTGATTTTTAATCATTGTTGTGTCACAGATCCCTTTGATAATATGATTAAAGCTATGTACCTTTTCCCTGGAGTCATGGAAAAGGTGTACACACACACACACACACACACACTCACAAGTTGCACATACAATTCCAGATTGTTCACTGACCCCCATAGGAATTATCACTGCCCTCCTGAATACTTTGATTTGCTCCTCTTCTGGGCTCATGGGAGAATTACACTTCCTTGCTGACTTGACATTAGTCAGTGCTTCAGCCAATGAAATGCGAGTGGAAGCGAAGTGTCTGGAAGCTTTAAGAGCCTTCACTCTACGTGCTATGCTTTCTTTTCACTCTGCCACCAGAACAGCTGGGTTCCAGATAGAGACTGCTCCGTCAGCACGGGTCCTGGTGTGCAGAGGACGCAGAGCACAGCACCCAGCAAATCTGCAATGGACATAGTGAGTGAGTGAGAAATAAATCTAGTTGTTTAGAGGGGCTAAGACTGGGGATGGTTGGTTAATGTAGCATAACCTAGGCGATCCTGCTCGATAGCAGGGCACTCTTTGTTAGATATGAAATAATCTAAGTCAGAAAGGTCCTTTCTAGGGGAGCTTAAGCTACCCTCCTTCCTGTCCCTAATCAACAAGTTACTTTTCCCTCAGATTTCTACACTTTCAGTTCTCTCTACCTACGAGACTCTTTCCCTGTTTCTTCCCACGATTCTTCACCCTTCAGAACACTGTTTATGTGTTACCTCCTCAGAGAGGTCCTTTTTGGCCTTGTTCCCACCCCATTCAGGCCCCGGTTACTGTCATTCACATCACCCATTTCTCGCTTTCACAGAGCATGTCACAGCCCATAATTATCTTGTTTATTTTCTGTCTCTCAAGTTCTGAATGTACCATATCTGTATTATTGCTATCAACAATGATTCATAAATAACAAACATCATGCTGCTTTAGCCCCATATGAACTTAAGGGAGTACATTCAAAATAGGGAGTGTTCTCATTTGTTTAATATGATAAAAATAGAACCATGAATGTTCTGAGCAAGTCACATTAAACACTGTTCTAAACTACGTTAATGGAAGAAAAAGCTCTAACTAAAAATGTTGGGCAAGTGTTCCAATGTTTCGATGTGCACCAAGAACAAACCACTGAATCTTGGTAGTCACCCAGGAACTATTAAGAGGTTGGCTTGACATTTTGGGTTCTTTTCAGATAATTTCGGCCAATAGCACTAACAACCTTTGATCCCAACCCAGTAAACAGTAGCTTTTGTAATTCACTGGCATACATTTCTTGTTTTATTATGTTTTGCTTACTTTTTTCTCTCTTTTACTTAGTATATGCGCCAAACATTCGTACTTCACAGTGACAGTAAGAATTAGTCCTTAAGTTCCAGAAAGTATTGGGTGGCTAAATCTTTGTTACGCATCCATGAATATAGGTACAATACCTTGTCATAAAATAATTAATTCATATTTGTTCAATGAATGAATTAATAAAATTAGTATTATAAAATTACCAAACATTTGTTTAATTTGCCTTTATTATTTATATGGCACAGTATACAAGGTCTGACAATTAAGTTCACGAACTTGCCACCATGCACTTACACTGGGGCCACTGCACAAACAGTTCAGTAAGGTTTCATAACCCTGGTATATCAGTGTCTCACAGCTGTGTTCATGTCAACATGTGGCGGTGTCTTGCTGAGTGGTGTTCATTATTGTCGCGTGTTTTTGTGTGTCGTCGCGAGAATGTCTGATCTTGAATTAGAGCTATGAACAACATTAAGTTTCTTGTTAAACTTGGCAAGAGAGGAAGTGAAATCAGGGACATGTTAGTCCAAGTTCATTGGAATAATGCCATGAAGAAAACATCAGTGTACAAATGGATTAAACGTTTACCTGAAGGGAGAGAATGCGTCACTGATGAAGAGAGGTCAGGGCAGCCAGTAATGAGCAGAACTGACGAAAACATTGCAAAAATTCATCAAATTGTGCATCAAAATCGTCAGCTGACTGTGAGAAGCATAGCAGACCAATTCACCAAAACACCAATAGAGAAACAGTTAGGAAAATCTTAACTGAAAATCTTGGCATGAGAAAGGTTATGTGCAAAAATGGTCCCGAAGGAGCTCACAGGTGAACAAAAGCAAAGGAGAGTTGACATTTGCCAACTTTTGGAGAGGCAAGACAATGTTTTGGGCCATGTTATCACTGGTGATGAAACATGGGTGTACCAATACAACCTTGAAACAAAGCGTCAAAGTGCACATTGGAAATCAGCCAATTCTCCACAAGGAAAAAAGTTCCGTCAGTCCAAATCAAGAGTCAAAACGATGTTGCTAAACTTGTTTGATATCAGAGGGATTGTTCATTATGAATTTGTACCAACTGGACAGTTAACCAACTTTATTATTTAGAAATGCTGAAAAGGCTGCATGAAAAAGTTAGACAACATGAATGTTTCACCAACAATTCGTGTTGTTGCGCTTGCATCAGGACAATGCACCAGCTCACCGGCACTGTCTGTGAGGGAGTTTTTAGCCAGTAAACAAATAACTGTATTGGAACACCCTTCCTACTCACCTGATCTGGCCCCCAATGACTTATTTACCCAAAGATAAAGGAAATACTGAAAGGAAGATATTTTTATGACATTCAGGACATCAAGGGTAATGCACGACAGCTCTGATTGCCATTCCAGATAAAGAGTTCCCAAATTGCTTTGAAGGGTGGCCTAGGTGCTGGTGTCCGTGCATAGCTTCCCAAGGGGAGTATGTCAAACGTGACCATAGTGATATTCAGCAAGGAGGTATGTAGTACTTTTTCTAAGTTTGTGAACTTAATTGTCACACGTCATATATACCATTAAAGACAATTATTCTAGTTTTCAAAACCAAAGTTTTATCCTTATTGTTTCACCTGCAGGCAAAGCTAACATGTTTACTGTTTTAAAATTTCAGAAACACGTGACTTAAAATCAATATGTAATAATTCTAATTTAATTATCTTTAAAAAATGTGTTAAGCAGCCTTGATATTTGATAAGACATTCAGAAGTTGTAATGCTATCATTCCAACATATAATAGATTCTGAAAAATATTCACCTCTTCAAATATTCAATTTCATAAGCAGAAAGTCTGGAGATCTTCTAAACTAATTAATAAGATAAATTTTAGTCTTGATGAGAACAACCAAACAAAATGTTTTAAAATTGCTAAGAAGCTTAGTTTGGAAACAAAAATAAGCTTAGTTTAGTTTTTACATAAACGGTTTTTTGTTTGTTTATTTGTTTGTTTTCTTTAAATTTCTTATGTAGCAGTGTGCATTGCAAAATAGTATTCCTTAAAATGTTGAGGATATTCACAACCCTATCACATGTAACATGTGTAATTGGTATATGATAGCTATATTTTTCTACTTAGATTTTTACAAAAATCCCCATGTGCATCTTAAAAATAACATGGACTTTTTGGGTTGGGTTGGGGTGTTTCTTCTTTTTAAATTGTTTCCTCTCAATTAATTAACTTTTAAGAAATCATCATCTGCCACTGTTTTAAGAGAATATGGGTAATCACATGGGGCTTAATGTCTTTAAAATGGGACATCTTTAAACATGTGTGTGCAAACATTTGCACACATATAAAGAGATACATTTTTAATTTTTTTGCATAAAAGCAGGTCATTTCTCAATTTGTCACCACTACAACACAGCCTTCAAAAAAAAGTGACAAATGTTTCTTTTTTATTTTACTGGGGCACTTCATCCAAATGCATAATTTCCACAGAAATAGTTGCTATAGAGATGCAAAAGGGATAAATAATAATGAATTATGCTAGCAAAAACTGCAACTGAAGTAGGGCAGTATCAAGGTTTATGTTTAATAATGCTGAAATGCTGACTATATTTATTCTTGACTTCATGTATACTCCAAATTGAATGTTCTGAGTCCCAAACTGGAAGGCTTTTTACTATAAAAAATAACACATCTTAATGAAAATATTTTAGTAGGCGTTCCAGATTAGAAAATCAATACATGCCAAAAAAGTTTCCTTTGTCCAAAAATAGTAAAATTTAATGAATAATGGATTCAAGTGATGCCAATTGCTTTCTTTTATTTCATGCAAAATTTCCTTATATGAAATAAAAGAAAGTGAGATTTTCTACACAAGATTTGCAGACGTCTTGGCTCTCAAGAATAAATGCTTCTTCGGGTTGATTCATGTCTTGTTTATCTTGCTAAGGAGCTTATTTTTAAATAGTGCTCTATGACAGAATTTAGAGATTTTCATGATGTTTATTAAAGAAAAAAATCATAAGTTAAATCTCCTAAAAAAAACATTTGGCTTGCTCAGGCATTATACTTTAAATACTGAATTATTAACAAGACATCTGGTAAATGTGAAAGTGGCTATTAAACTCTTGTAGTCTTTGATTTTGCTAATTAAGTTTTATAAAACTTTAGAGAGAAAATAGTTTTCAGTCTTCTCACTTAGACATTAGAGTTTTAGGAAAAAATTATTTTAGCAGATTGATACACCCTGTGTTCTTTTTTCCCCTTTTTTAAAAATTAAATTTATTGGAGTGACAATGGTTAGTAAAATTGCATAGGTTTCAAGTCTGCATTTCTATAATACAGCATCTATATATCAGGGTAAAGAAGGTCAAATACACCCTGTGTTCTAAAACCAAAATTACCCTATTTTTTAAAAAAAGTAACACTAATACACTCATTCATATTATAAAATTTAACTCCTAGTTGCCAATAAAATCAATACAATCAGTTTAAGAAAAAGTGGGGAAGGAAGGAATGAGGGAGGAGGAATCCTCTCTTAGATAATTAGTAACCTCTCTACACCTTTGTCTCTGAAAATGTTGCTCTTTATGATTTCTATAAGCCTTCAATTTTATGCTGCTTTAGCAACACTGTAATCAAAATTATTTCAGGAACAGTTAGGAATTGTGGAATAGCATGGGTTGTAGTTTCAGATAGGCAAGATTTCAAAGCCAAGCACCCACATTTACTGTGGACCTTGGTCAAGATTTAGCACCTTCAGTCTCCTTTGTCATCCATAAATTCATAAGGCACTTATCCTACAATGATCTGAATTTTATATCAATGCTCCATTGACATTATCTTCATGAAGGTCACCAATAGGCCCTTAATTTAAAAACTTAATGATTATTTAGCTCTTATTGTATTTGATCTCTTTGCAATATTTGACTAATCACCATTTCATAATTCTTCAAACTGTTTTCTTCCTTGGTTTCTGTGGCCTACCGTTTTCTGCCTTTTTTTTTCTTATTTTCTGAGTGTTCATTATCACTCTTGTTTGCAGATTCTAGCATCTCTGCTATGAATTAAATGAACTCTGTGCTCTTCTCCTTCTGAATTGTCTTCCCAACAAATTCCACCCACCACTGCTCTTTCCCATGGCTTCAACCCCCAC